GCTGAGGTAAACTTGACCGAAGCATCCTTTGTAGTAAGCTGTGGACTACCAACTTGCGGAGGTTCCCAGTTGGTCAAAACATCTTGGATTTTGTTTATGGGGCTTGGGTGGATCAACACAGCCTTCCTTGAGGTTCTTTAAGTGCCAAGCACTGCACTTCCAGTCAAGACTGCAGCAAAGAAATCAAAGAAATGAACAGTCAGTGCGGCAAAAGTATGCTCGCTTTTGCAACTGTTCCATGTTTTCTTAGGCATTGAGCTGCAGCTGGCCCAGCTGAAGCAGGAGATCGTGCAGGAACGGCAAGAGCGCCAAGCCTTGGCACGACTGGTGGAGACTCTGATCAAGGACCCAACAGCGGAAATGCTGAAACCACTGATTAGCATATGATTTCACTGGTGCACGACACGTCTCAGATGTGACTGATGGTCAGGACCGCCCCGCAGCCCCCAAGCGCCGCTGTGATGAGAAGGAGTTTTCGACCCCAGGCATGGATGCCATCGGAAGCCATCGGTGAAAGCTTCACGGCGCGGACGAGCCGAACGTTCATTCCAAGAGACACCTCCCAAGTGGACATGACGAGGACCATCTAGGACCTACAGTAGGAGCCATTCGTGTTCTGTTAGTCGTGAGGTATGCAGAAGGCAGGGGTGTTTTGTTTTTTTACAGGTAACGCCTGAAAGCCTGGAGCACTTATAGTGCTGGGGCAGGTGAAGTTGCAAGTATTCCGTTCATTTTCGAGCTGATGGGGCAAGCAGCGTATGCAGCCAAATTTTGTGGACCATAGTGACATAGTGGTTGCTTGTAGTGAGAAAAGCTTAAACAAGTGAGACAAAGGAGGATAAACGGAAAAGAATTACTTGCCCTATCCCCAAATCAGACCATTTTTCCCTCGATGTTGCAGGCCAGCCGCCAGAGCTGCAGCGGGGATTTCGTGTGCTTGAGGATGGCTGGCTGATTCTGCGGTCCATCACCATGTGAAAAATGCCGCTGCTCCCCTTGTTAAAATTTGTGGAGCTCCTACGTCCACCAAAAATTCGGAAGGGGCACCAGCAACACTCCAGCCCAGCCCTCCAGCTGCTAGATTCTGTTGCAGCAGGAGGCCTCTGTCTCCGGACACGATGCCATCACAGAGGAGGCAGGGCCAACTGTGCAGGTGACGTAACCGAACGTGTGAGATGGTTTGAACAAATACCCTTGAGTGCATACATGCCCACACAGCCAGCCGGAAATAGATAGAACATGGGGACATCTTAAAAACCAATACGAAACAGATGGACACAGTCATTCATGTTTTCCATTGTTTCCCATTGGTTTTATATTACTATATATATATACTCCTGATGGTTGTGCATATATATATATGTAGTAATGTATGTATATGTATATGTGTGTTGTTTTTATATATGGGAGTATCGCAGTCGCACGCATATGGAGCCCGACGCTTGTTCCAGCCGCTAGCACCTTGACTTTGGAACCTTCACACCTTGGTACAGCTTGCTTCCGATCGACAAGAGTGGGTTCCTTGATTTGTTGGCCATCCACACCCCATCCTTTGGCGCAATGCCGAGCAGTCTGGTAGTATCAAGTTCTCGTCGAAGTATTTTGTTCACCCCCCTTTCCGACACAGGCTTTTCGCCCAGAGAAACACTCAGCTTCCACACATTATTCGGTGCCGCGGGAATCCCCATTTCTGCATCCGGCACCAGCTGTTCCTGAAAAATGTCAGACAGCCTGAAGCTGCTTCCAGGAGGGTGACCGCACCTTGGACATCAACTTCTTCCGCCGGGACTCGCCCAAAGGAGAGGCGTCGAAGCCAGTGGACGCGAAGCTGGGGCGCTTGGGCCCGGCACTGCCGCAGGTGGGAAGGGTTGATGGAAGTGGATGGCTGCGGAAAAGCGGAGATGACCAAGTTTCTTCACGACAAGTCGGAATTTACATGACAATGACCTGTTTTTCGGGGCGCAACACTTTGAGTCATGCACACGAAGTTGAGGCAGTCTACATGGAACATCTAACTTGAGTCCTAACTTGGCATTGACATGGTTACCTGCTTGTATGGCACAGTCTATACGGAACACTCAGCACTGCCGTTGGCCAGTGCTGCGACTGCAGATGGCAGCTAAATTTGTCATCCAAAGTTTCCACATCTACCCACTTGCAGCTGGTGATGCCTTTTTTTCCTGCATCCTGTACTGACAGAAAATAACAGAATGCACGCAGATCTTGAAGTTCATGAGGCTCCTAAACCGTTTCTGGCTCAGTTTCTGGATCGTTGCTCTCCCTTGACCAGCCCGGAGGCCCAGGACTCGTTCCTGGCGGATGCCTCAGCTGCCTTGGAGAAGCTCGAAGAGGAACTGGGCTCTGAGCTGCCGAAAGAGCCGAAAGGCTCACCCGGTTTCAACTTGGAGGGGCGCGACGTTGCCCAGGACCGATGTTTTTCGTCTCAGGATCGCTGAGTTCCACCTTTGAGGTGATGCCCTGTCAGTGGAAATGTACAAATCAATTCGGATTAAAGCAACTCAGAAATAGCACTCACCCCATCAAAAATACTAGCAGAAATCCCAACGATCTTTCCAATAATAAGTTCGTTTGTTTTCCTCCGTTTTGCTTCAACGAGATTGTTGAGTGAAGCCAACGCCCATCTCTTTCAGCATAACTATGCTTCGAGTGGCGACTGGCGAGGACTTGCAGTTCTACCGGTCAAAGTGTTTGGAGCTTGCTGCAGAGGTGCAATAAACATCACGCCGAGTGAAGAATCTCAAATTACTATACAGTAAATGCACTGACTATACTATACATTGGCCTTGGCTTTCAAAACCGCACCGAAGGAGGCGTCCTTTTTGGCCACGTACTGCCATTGGTACTGCCAGACCTTGCCAGACCGGGACACCGCTGGGACCGTCCAGGTGCAGAAACGGGATGCCGAGCTGGTTCAGCTGCGCCAAGCTCTCCAGTCCAACATTTGGCAACCCGTTTTGAAGGACCGGGCGACCGGGAGAGTCGGTCTCGCCTGCGAGAACGCTGCCCGGCAGCGGCGGGTTGCGTTGGAAACGGGGTTTCAATAGGTGAACCAATGCTTTTCTCAGGTTTTCTCCAGAAGACGATGTGAAGTGACACTTCGTAGCAGGACAGCTACATATTCTGGGACCGACCACGATGAACAATCTGAGACTGATCATTTCCGCTGGGTAAGGGGAAAGGATGTTTTGAATATAAGTCAAAGAGTCAGTGTAGCTAGTAGATGTTCAGCAGGAAGGAGCACATTCAAGACCCAGGAACATCCACGGAAAGGAGATGAAACGAGCTAATTGTTATTTACTCTATATATCGTGACTTTGATAATATATGTTTTAACTCTGAAGGGTCTAAGGAATCATTCCGTTTGAGTTTGCTTGGTTTTTGCCGCAGGGCAGCGCTGGGCTGGGACCTTTGGAGCCCTCCACACCAGAGGGAGAGGCACCCGGCTGGGCTGGGAGTTGCTTCTCACCGGGGGGTGCTGGTGATTCTGGAAGATCACGCCGACATATCACTGGAACTCAACCGGGTAATACCCCATACAATTATATATATATATAGCATAATATATAGTCTATAGATATATATATATATGTTTGTATGGTTGCAACGGCGGCTGTGCCTAGGGGTGTGCCTCATTTTTGTCACAATGTGTCACATGTAGATCCTGCTGTGTTTGTCGTAGCTGTGTATGGGACGACTAGGCTCGGACGAGCCGAACGGAGCCGGATCTCCCTGAGGCGAGCACATAGCCATCTCCAGAGCAAGTGAGTGTGGCATTCGGTCGAAGCCACCATGGGGTGCTTGTTGCGGATGTTGCTCGTAACATCTTAGGGGGTTGCCTTCCCATGGTTTGAGATCATTTGCCACTCGCCATGCAACTATTCAGAATAAGGATCATCTGAAAACATGATGGTCTTATCAGTCGATCCCGCTACTAAGAATCTTTCCGCGTGCCTATCGACGCCATCGCAAGATCTTGTTGAGCTAGTTGGAACTGGCTAGAAGCATCTAGAAGCCTAGAAGCCAAGCATCAGGTCGCTAATTGGAAGCAGGTTGAGGGCAGGTGACAAAGCTCCATTGCTTCGCGAACCAGCGGCCCTCGGCCCTGGGTGGGCCACGTGCGAGCCTCCGGACTGGACGTGCGCTGAAAAGGGAACGGCCATGACGGCCTTGAAGGGTGCAGCACGGCGCCACTCTGCCACCTTTGACCGTGCTGACAAGAGTGGCCATAGCTCATGTGCTTAGGAAGTGGCGTAGGAAGACTAGGAAGTGGTGTCCCATCGCTTTCTTTGATGCAAAGACGCCCACCAATCCAGTGTCTGAAGCTGCTAAGGGGTACGACCTCAACATGCGAGGTCAACGCCCTGTTTGCCTCATTCTACTTCGTTTGGTGCAGATACCCCTTAAAATCTGTTAACCACATCTTAGGTGATCTTCCGAGGCCGGCTCTCATCCCAGAAGTGGTTTAGAACATCTACCCGAAAACCATGGTTTCCTGTAAATGTTCCCTTCAACTCAACCAATTCTGGGATGTCAACACTTGGCTTCTACTAAGCTCCATTGGTAATCCTCTAAGCGGTGCGAAACCCCGGTGGGCTTGGGCCAACACCATACACAACCGATGGACCGTTCTGACCGTTCTTGCTTCGTTGTCCGGCCGTGCAAAGATGTCACCAGTCGCCATGAACTGGTTGAGGTTGCTTCTTGGTGGGATGTTGCAGGAATACAGCACCATCATTCTAGATCTCAAACTGTCTCTTGAAATGATGTGTCAACTGTGAACTCTTTCCCAACACCCTTCGACTCTGTGGAACCAACATTGAACAGATTCGATATATATATATATACATATAATATATATATATAGAGAGAGAGAGATCCAATATAGATCCTTTGTTTTTCTTGCCTCGTTGCATCATCCGAATTCTTCTTCCAGCGATGGAGCCGTCCGCGGAGCCGTCCGCGATGGATCACCCACCGAGGTCCCCCACCTGGATCATCCCCATCTCGCAATTTGTGGACCAGAACTGTTTAGTCTTCGAGGATCAGGAGGACGGAGGGAGGACGGAGGGAGGACGGAGGGTACGTTGGACTAGACTCAAGCGCTTCTGTGCGCCGCGCCGTCGCGCGGCGCGGAAGCACGGTTCAGCGCAAGCTTGCCTGTGCTGAGGATGAGGGAAGCAGTGAAATGTTGAAAGGTCCCATGAAGGTCCCATGATTCACTTCTGAGCATTTCGAGACGTCGAGAAGCTGTATTGGAAGCCACTAAGTAAGGTCTCCTGCAATCGAATTAGAGGCCAGGGTGTCTTGACATAGCAATGCCGAGGTGGATCTGAGCCAGTAATTGCTGGGGAGTCAGTGGCAAGTTGGGCAAGTCTTCTGGATCTTGATGCAGAACACCCTGCCTTTAGACGCTGTATCATGTTTCAATGTTTTATGTGCCACATTGACATGTTCCTTTGCCTTGCCGTTCATGCTCAGGAGAACAAGTCAGGCGCTGAGCAGTGCGAGCTTTTGTGTAGATTTGTTGCACCTCTTACCGGTCCCCAAAAACATCACTGAATGAACCTATCTTGAAACGTGGTGCCTGGGGAGCATCACGCCGAGGTTGGAATACACCTTGGTCCACAACTCCTTCAAGCAGTTGGCCGCTGGGATGGTCAGAGGTCGTCAGGGGCTGGCAGGTCATCAGACGTTCAAAATGGTCTCTTTGGCAGGCCCCCCCCAGGCTCCCCATGGCTTTGATGCCCGTGGAACGGGGCTTTGAGTGGAAATGTTTCGGGAAAGAAGGTCAGTGAACTCCGTGAATCTATTCCACTCCTTGCACTCGTTCCACTCACGGCGCAGAAACGGTGTTTTCGGTCATGCCAGGGTGAACAATGGTGAATACCACTCATTCAAGGGAGGGACATCAACTACTGACCACAAACTACAGAAGGATATGTTTCTGGATGTTGCTTGAGGTTTCCAAACGTTGAAGCCACACAGATGCCACACGTTCAGAGCATCTAACGTGCACAGATGCCGTCGTGCGGTGTACGTGCGGTGCTTGAAGTCCAGACCTTCTGGGCCTTGACTGTCGAAGACTGACTCAGGTGGAGGACCTCCTTGCAGTGCCGACCTGAACATGGATGGGATAGAGAAGCACGAAACCCGCCAAGATCAGGGAGTGCGTTGGATTCTGAGGCGTATATGCAGGTATATGCAGTGCATGCATATATGTCATGTTGAGATTTTCCGGGTGGGTGTTCAAGATCACAGTATAGGTTTCCTATGTTCTTTGACTTCAAGGCTTCATTAGTCTTGATCGCTATCTTGATGTCTACTAGGGGCGCTCCTGGCATGACTAGTAGGAGCAAGAAGCTACTAGGAGCATTTCGGGCATCGCTACGAACGGAGCAAGGACGCTACTAGGGGCTCCAGGCCGTACTACTAGTAGCAATTAAGAAGCTACTAGGAACAAGTGCATCGCTTCTAGAAACAAGTGCCTTACTACTAGGAACAAAGAAGCTACTAGTAGACTGAACGATTCCAAGGGTCAGGCAGTCGCCCGTCCGACTCGCCCGTCCGATCGCGCGGGTGCGCGCCTCGCGCACCGAGGCTCACCTGGTGGAGATGGACATCAGCACTGATGAGCGATGGCCCTCAGCGGGCGTTTGGATGATTCCGAGGCATTCTTTGAGGCCTTAATGATCGGAATTGCCTTGATGATTTGCCAACTGCCTTGATGTTTGCCTTTTCCTGAATGATCTTCATGAACTCTTGACTTTGCCTTGGGCAGATGAACTGTTTTCTGATGTTTTTTCGTCACGTTCTGTTCCTTTCTGTGCCTTCTTACTTGTCTTTCAGCGCAAGCGCTGATTGCCAGAAGGTTGGAGCCAAGGCTTGTGGCCAGATGTTGAGGTCCTTGATCGTAGAGAGCTTGGCTAGTCCCCTTCAATTGCACTAAGATTCAACAGCTTCTGTGAATATGGACTGTCTGTCGGGAGGCTCAGATTTCAGACGGACAGGTGCCTGCTTTACCGATGGACTGGACGTTGACGAGCCACGCGAGCAAGAATTTATCAATCGACGGAGCTGGTTTCAAAGACCCAAAATCGAGAAAACATGTTCTGGAAGCTCCACGATGATTCGGTGAAGCTAGAGTTTGGCCAAATCGACGACCGTTACACACAAACACCGGATGTCCTCCAAGTCGAGAACTCGCGAGAATTCTCGACCTGGATGAGACACCAGAAGCTAAGACCTAAGGGGAGCAACGAACTTCACCGGAGCCTGGTGGAGCAACTGATCAGTCGACAGCTCAGAGAAGCGGGTCAACCCATTGAAGTTTCCGCTTCACATCGCTTGAACCTGTCGTCTCACTTCCAAAGACAGCGGGGCTACCAAGGAATCAGGTAGATGGGCAGCAGATTTAGATGGATTTAGGTGTGAGATGAATGGAGGTGCTTCTAAAATTTCTAAAATAGAGTTTGGGCGTTTGATGTGTTTGGCGGAGGAAATGGGGGGACCTCTCAAGGAGATGCCTAAGAGTCACAGGGAGGAGGTATTTGAAGTATTTTGAAGTGATATGCAGTGGAAAATAGCACCATGGATGGGTCAGAAGCCTTTTTGTGGATGCATGCTTTGTGGCCCGGCACTCTAATGGATGAGGGTTAAGATGTGCCAGGAACAGATTGACATGTGGAACGAACAGCGTTCGGGTCACCTTCACGACATGGACATGTCCGAGGTGTTGAGGACTTTCTGGTGTTCAAGGCAGGATGATGGATGACCACTGAGCACAGGATGTAGCACAAAAAATATGAAGAGCAACATCCTTTGAAACTACTCCTGTGTCCTGTGCTCCAGGTCCAACAGGGGCACCTTGATAGGTGCCCTCACCCCTTGATAGGCACCCTCACCTCCCAGAATCCTTGCGACGTAGAGTCAGTTTGGCAAAAAGCTGGAGCAAGAAACACAGCAAAGAAGACTCCGAGAAGAGCGCTACTAACACGGTTAGACTTTTGCCGCTTGGTCTACTGAGTATACTGATCACAGGGTGGTGCTTTGCTTACAAGTAGACGCCCTTGTCTACAACATCAGATCCCACGATATCATTACCCTCAGCGGTTGGTAGGCCATGATGCTAAAGCGCAACTCTGAGCTCACCAGAGAAGCGCTAGGAGCTCAGATATGCTCAGGTGGTCACAGGGCGGTGCTCGCAGGGCAGCTGTGGTTAACCAACTTGCTCCTAGGTGCCTGTTCCTGTAGACAAGATCGTCCTGGTACTAGCCAGGACCAAGCGGAACTCCTTTAGTGGATTTACTAGATGGTTCGTGGATCCTGGTGATTTCTTCTTTCAAGCTGCGGAGCGGTGCGAAAATACTCCTTTCTTTTTGTGTTTGCACGCTGGCTGTTTGAATTTTCGATGGAAAGATTGGTTTAAGCTTTAAGCCATTCCACAGCTGGGAGCTCGTCGTGAACGCAGATTTTGCCGAAGGCTAGAGCAACTAGCGGCCTGCGCAGGAGGTTAGTGGCCTGTGGCTACACCGGCTACACTGTTTGAGGTTTGTTTCCACTGCTTGCATCGGAGACCATTGGCCGCGTCATCGCCGCCTAGGTTGAACCCTGTGAGCTATGTGGCCGGGACGCCGACACCCTCAACAAACAGCAAAGAATCATAAAGAACCAGACAATACACATCAATACACATGAATCCACGATGCGATGACAATAGCATACAGTATACAATAATACACCGAATGAGGCTGGTTACCCTACTAATCCAGGATGAAGGATCCAGAATTTCAAAAGCTTCACAGTTCCGAACCTGAGGTTGTTGCAGATGAGCCGGGTCTCCCACCGCCACCACTCGTCGCGTGGCCCAGCGTCTTCGTCGCGCGTTTTTGCGGACCATTGGTTCGGGGGATCCCGACATGGGCGGCGAAAGCGGCGTCGAATCGGTGGCTTATAATATTATATCTTATACCTGGTACCCCTGAAGAGTGATAATTATCACTCTTCAGGGGTACCAGGTATGTTTAAGTGCATTGAAGTGTTTTGGTTGGGGCGAGGACTGATGTCAGCTTTGTGCTTGGAACCTGCCTGCTTGGTGTTGCCTACAGTTTGATGTTTCTCTTTCATGGTCTTGAATGTCGGCTCCATATCATTCTCTCCAATTTTCTTACATGTTACATATTCGTTCCGTTTTGAGGCACACGCAGGTGAATCCACAACAGATTCCACCAAACAGTTACAACTATACACAATCATGTATTGATATCCAATGTCCAATCAGGTATTCGTAATATACAGGCTCTTTTGCAAGGAAACTACTAGTAGCAAAGGGCATCGCTGCGAACGGAGCGATCGGACGCTACGTTCGGGGCTCCTGGCCGTACTACTAGTAGCAACAAGCTACGAGGAGCTACTAGCTTACTAGTCACAATGTCTTCCATCATCTTCGTCACTGAGGCACCTCCGGGAGAGACCGAGGTGACCAGCGGTCCAGCCATCAGCGAGACCGAGGCCAGACCCAGACGGGAGACCGGCCTGCTTTGGAGACCCGGAAGGGCCAAATGGTTTCTTTGTTTCTTCCAATTTTGCAGCAATAAGCCATCGGTTCAACATGTCTAGTTGCATGATTAAGCATTTGTTTAAATCAAACATTTTTTCATATTTTGTTACTATTAATGTTTAACATGTCTTTTGGCGCTTCGAAGGTGTTTTCATCCATTTGTCCATGATTGTCCTCACTCCTCTCGGAGTTTTGGAATAGTGTGGGATTGACATCTTTCGACCGATTGCACTTGTTCGCAGCCCTCATGGAGAAGAGGTCCCCTTCCAAGAAGAGGTCCCTGTCATGAAAGGGGATCCCCAAAGAGTAGCATAAAGGCGGTGAAACATTCAATTGCAGTTTTTCCTTTGAGCACTGGGGTCGGGGTACGAGCAATGGACATGAAGAGATTACTGCGGAGACCAACAGAGCAAAGCTCACATCGAACAGTGCTTTCAAAAGACAGACTCCATAGCCATAGGCAGATCAATGATGATCAATGTGTGAGGAATGAAGGCGATGGCGAACCATGACCGAACCAAACAGCAGGGCCGAACCATCCTCCAGCGCCTCGCTGCGCCTCTCCACGCCCAGCTAGGCCGAACGCCTCATGCGGCTCGAGGCCGAACAGCGCTGTGTCGAGGCACCCGTGGTATTTTTTTCGGCATGTCGAGAAAAAGAAAAAAGATCTGAAGAACTACATTGCTACATAGAACTACCATCTTTCAAATTCAAAAAGAGGAGCAAAAACTAAAGAGCACGAACCTTGGATCTTTGCTCCAAAGTGTTTCTCTAAAACATGTTTTAAATCCTGGCAAGACCTTACAACCGCCCAGAGAGCAGGCTGAGAGGGCTCATTCCTATGTCGGTTTGGGTCATATGAGAGAGCACAGTGTCCTGGGTCCATACTTTAATAGGGAGACACCCAGGCCCCGTGAGTAGACTGGTCTATTCTCCTTCTTTCCAGGGGAGCTGGAGCGCCGGAGCGGGGAGGTAGACCTCCGTTCGAAGCTACACACGAAGAGACCTCCCGCGCTTTTGATCGAAGCCCCCCGGTGACAAGGCCGAGCTGCAGCTCGCAGTGGCACTGTTGGAGCCTCAAAATGCATCCCGGCCGGTGCAGCAGTGGTGGAAAGAACAATGGAAGAATGAAGGATGTGGCAACTGGTGAAAATATGGCTGGTGGATGTGAGAAATGGTAAAATCCATGGAACACATTGAAAAACACCAAGGACGCCCATCAGTTGTTTGAGCAAAAAAGCGCGCAAAAGTTGGAGTCGGACTCGGCAATTTTTTGTTTGCAGGTGACTTGAAACAGCCCTGTTTGGTGAGCGAACAGAAGTTCATCACCGAGGACAATCCCAGCTCATGCCGTGTTGTTTTTTTAAATATAGTTTGAAGTTAAGTTGACATCCAAGATCACAGAGAGATGTCCGGAAAATCCGGCATGCACTTAGTTCATCCTGAGTTCGTCCTGATTTCATGCGCGCTGCGCTTCGTTCCCTTCACCACCGAGACCGGGTGGGCCACCGAAGGTCCAGACACTTGGAAAAGCGCTTGCAGCTCATTGAGGAACCGTCCTTAGTTGGAGTGATCTGATTTAGTGACATTCTTTAGTGTGTGTTTTTTGGTTTTGTGTTTATTCCTCTTCGGCCAGGGGCATGCTTGTTGCAATCCTCTCTTAAAACGATGGAATGGAACGTGGGAGCTTGCGACCACTCGAAACCGGAACCTGCCTGCAAAGGCCGGAGAAAAGTAGTCTCTCTATGTATCTAATTATGCATATTTGGGACTCTCTCTACGTCTGTGCCTGTATGTGTAGATCTGTAACGTCTCTGTGAAGCCTGTTTGCAGCTCTTGGAGCACTTCTGAGCACCGGACACGGGGAGCCAACGGTGAGTGGCTTTGATGTGAAATCCTGGAGCTGGGCAACTTGCTGAAGGTTTTACTGCTGAAGCGATTGAAGTTGGGTTCTTTGGCTAAGGCTCTCAATGAAGTGCTGGAGATGGCTGTTGGGGTCCAAGCTTGGAGTTGGGGTGACATCACATGTAGCTCACTGGCAAATAGCGCAAATAGGTCTTGCTGAGCAGGCACGATACCGTACTTGTGACAGATTGCTGGCCAGCTTTTCTTGTGGCAGACAACGCTTCCAAGAACATTCATGACAGAGCTCTCACTACTAGTTGCCTATGGACTTTAGATGACATTGACAGTGACCAGCCCTGCATTTTTATTGGTCTTTCTTTTGCCCTTGGGAAAACCCATCCCACGATCTTTGACTCTTTGACTAATACTATATAGTAACTTCATGGTTACCTTTGTTTCTCATTGCTCACAGGTGAGAGCAGCCACTTTGCCCATCTCAGAGCTTAATGTGGCTGCAGTTGGCTACAAACATGTCCTTCTGCACCATGTTGTGGCGGCTGGACAAGGCCTTCACATGAAGCCTACGGAAATGAGCACGAGTGGGTAAGTCGAGCGGTTATTTTCCTCAGTGTTAGGCACAGAGGGGGATTTGGTAAATGAAAGCTACGGGGCAGTTGTGGGGGGAGATACTTACTCCCTTCTCCCCAACTCACTATCCTGAAGACTCACCTGGTCTTTTGTTGGCATTTCGAAGTTGTTGTAGCATGAGACACTCTGAAGCATGTGCCAAGCAACAGACACACACATTTAGTACATGACAATGATACCGTACTGATACTGGATGTGACACTTTGACTTTGGGAACGCATGAAGGGCCGTCCTTTTGTGCTGTGCATGGCTTGCCCATGACGGGCACGGAGAAACAGGCAGCACGGAAGAGCGCGCTCAGACAGAGAGTTGCTTGGAAGAATCAGACAGGAAGTTCCGGATGGGCCTCAGGAACGAACACCTTAATGATTGAACGGTTCTGAGTCCTGGGACGTTCTCTATTCTTTTGGGGGGCGGGTTGCTCCGACTGGAACGACCAGCCTTGAGTGGTCGGCCAGGTTTGGGATGACTTGGAGTCCCACGCCGCAGTTCTTTTCCCACGACCTTGCCATGGCCGCATTCCCAACTGCATCGGCTCGGCGGAAGCCTGTGGGGTGCCTCAGGGTTTTGAGTGGCAGCTGTTGGAGGGCATCAGCAGAAGTCTCCAGGAAGAGTCTTTGAGTTCCACCTATGTCCACCTCTTCTTTTCGCCTGTTTGGTTGGAAAGGGTGATTTTGCCTGATTCGAGGGGCCAACCTGGCGAATAGCTCGAGAAGAGCTTGGGTTGGAAGAAGGGCATGCATTTCCTCTTCGTTTGGGTCTGGGTGATCATTCGGCTACGGACCTATCCCGGGGCACCAATTGTTCAAGTGGGCTTGTTTTGCTTCAGCAAGGGTTTCCTGGAAGAAGAAGCTATATAAATATCAATAAATGCAATCAATTTGTTCTGCAACATCCTAATCTGAAAGTTTGTACTTATATACAGCTTTCTGTCATCCAAATTCCCCATCAGCACACTGTACTTCGTCCCAGCACCTGGTCCACCGCAATGAACCTCCTAGGTCGTCAGCTGCTCGAACTGCCGGAGCTCCAGCGGGCACAGGTGGTCAAGGTCCACCCGTCCATCGGTGCCAGCGCGCTGCGCAGCGCGCTGGTCATGGCCAAGAAGACAGTGCCTGAAGGGGAAGGGGAGAGAGTGGGAAGGGGTGGGAAGGGGTGCAAGGAAAGGTGAGAAGATCCACCATGGTTACGTTTTGGGGAGGTATGTGATATGAAGAAGAGGTATGTAAAACATTGTAATTAGAATAGTTTTTATTTTTTTAACTGAATTTTACTGGTTTCACACTGATTGCCTCTTGCATGGGACCCGGGAGACATGTGGCTCATGGAGATTCATGGTCCAAGGCATTTTCAAACAGCACCAAATTACAAAAGACTGCAAGCCGCTTTTCGTTTGGTCTTCAGATCAACCTCCGGGCCATCCTCTGCAGACGCCTCACCCGTTTCACCCTTTCCACCCTTTTTTCACCCTGCCCAGGTCTTGGTTCCCCCCTACCCGGGCGCTGACTTCCTTTACCTTCTGCTGCACCACAGCCTGGCGCCGAACGAGGCTGCCTTGCTCCGTTGCGGAGACAAGTGACTGGGATGCAGATGTAGGCTGTTTGACCCACATCGTCGGCGAGAATGTCAAAGTCACCAAAGTCAACTCCAGAGCCATGATGTCCAGGCTCAAGAGATTTAGCCTGATCATTCCTTCTGACCTACTGTTGAGGCATTTTTGGGGTTGGGGAACCCACATCGACATGGTTCGACATGGTTCCAGGAATCTTAAATATTGACGTGATGCGCATGTTAGAGTAGCGATGCATCACCCTTCTTATCCCTTGTTGAACTTGACTGCCGGTTCCTCAACCATCTGTAGGGCCTCAAGCGCCGCCACCAATGCTCTCGCCGAGGCGAGAGTATTTGAAATGGGCACGTCCTGTAGCATCCTTGCTGGAGCCGTGGCTGGAGAGAATCTCCTGTAGTGACCGATACACCAAGTAGAAACTGACTTATTCCAAGCCTTCGTGGAGCTTGGAAGGGAAATTCAAGAATTCCCTAGCTTTCAGCAGTTCGCGCGAACGTGGCAGTTGATGTCGGTAGGTCCCATGATTCTGCCGCATGACTCATGCAAATGAAGCGACATTCCTGGAAGCATCCACAGGACATCCCTTTGGTGGATGTCGTTGTGGTTGCAACATGCTCCTTGGTTTCAGAAGCTGTATATGGCCTATAACTTGTTTTCTTGTCACCAGTGACTTTGACAAGTCAAAACTCGCAAGAGAATTGCTCACTTTCATGTCCCTGTTGAGACTTTCAAGCGTCAACCCTTTGCAACTCCTTAAGGTGTTGTCGCACCCAATGGTGTTCGCTTGGGCAAGGGCAAAGGCTATGGGGAGGCTACGAGCGTTTAGACGGACTCTTGGGTGGTAATTGGTGTCCCTCATGGTTAAGGAATCGTGGTAATCAATCAAGGAACACTTCAAATCTTCATTGTGGTGATTGCTGCCCCTCCTTCGAACCACATAGGTTTCTAGAATCTCGGCCAACTGGCCAGGTTGAGTGGGGTATCCTCACTGAGCTGGGGGTGGTGGATAGCTCAGTGCCAGTGCAACTTGTCTCCAAGATGACCCTCCTCCTGTCGGAACATTTTTGTTTGTTCCATGTTGCATGCGGATTCTTATCTACTGAATCTACTGTAGTTACATGTATACTCTCGACTAGTGACAAAGGAGTTGTAAAACGTATGGTGGGTTTTACAACTCCTATGTCATGGACTTTAAAGTAGAGAAACACATCAACACATGGTCACACAAGAATAGCTTTAAAAACAGAAAGCTGCCTGAAAAGATGAATAAATGACGTGAGATAGGAGTTGTAAGTACCAGGAGGCATGATGAAACATGATGAGCAGGCCGATTCTTATGTCATTTGTTCTGTGTGCATCAATTCCCCTCCCTCCCTGAAAAATAATAAAACTGCTTGATCATCAGCTGGCGACAATTCCCAAGTCATGAGGCTTGAATCAGCAACTCTGCAATTTTTGTGTTCCCAATGACTTAGGGGTAGTGGGCCACAACTACTATGTCACTGGCCCACACAAGTCCTAAGTCACCGGTCGGTAGTATGATTACTACGTTTCACTGCCCAACATGAACCCTGTCAGACTGGAGCTCACGTCGCGCTAGACAAGTCTACTACATGCCAGCTTCTTGAAACGCTGTCCATTCATCAAAGGTCACCTGTTTTCAAACAGCTTTTGGAATGCACCAAGGTACACCTTGTGCCACGACCTGCAAGTGGTGAGCGCCGAGGATCTCAAAGAAGAGATGAGCCTCGAAGCCTCCGACAGGGCAATAGACTTCGTTACTTGTTCCTAGTAGCGATGGCCTCCAACCTAGTAGCTTTTTGTTACCAGCAATGGGTGAAACATGGGCAGATTTGCGGACTATGTGGGTGGACACAGTATTGCCCCAACACATTGAGGCAACAGTGACATGGTCATGTGTTTCTTGATCTTGGCTTGACATGTAGGCACAAACATCATGGAACCAACCTGTAGGATGTGTTTGAAGAGGTGGTGTACTGGTGTAATTTACCTAATTTAGGCACACTAAAGCCTTGATCAGAGTAACATTGAAATTTGGTAATCGCTGCAAGTTGCTCCAGAGCGCAACCAGGATGGAATCACATGATTTGCCAGTGGACGCCTTTGCAACACCGAGTGGTCTTACGCGCTGCCAGGCAGCTTGTCTTCAAAGTAAGAGTCAGAAGCAAACTGAATGGAAACACACGCGACACATTCACGGTTGCGACAATTTTACTGTGAGCTTTCTTTATAACATACAAAGATAATTATAGATAGACAGATAGATCGATAGTGACCTATAATATCTATAATTTATACTATAATATATAGAGAGACAGGCTTGCTTAATGGTTCGGGGCTGGATATTCATGTCCACCCCTGGTGACCAACGTCTCGTGGCTCAAACATTTTAGCAAACCATAAGCCATGATTTGATGAGCTAACCGAAGCATGGATTTGAGCGGAAGTTTTGGAGGAATCGCCTTCGAAATTGTTATCAAGGGGGAGCATTCAATTCTTTCAAGAAAAGCAAAGGGCCCCTCCCGTGTTCATCCCATTCTTTCAGATCGATTTGAGCCCTTGTTCTCGGCTCGCGAGGCCAAAGTGCCCAAACCCTTTGGGGTGAGGCCCAGATACCGAGACACTGCGTTTACGGTTGAGTCGAATCAGATCTCCATAGCGTCTCCAATGCGTTCCGTGATGGATGGGTTGGATGATTCAAAAGAGAATCAAACACTCAGATCATGCAGAAAACAACACTCCACTGACTGCCGCAGAAAGCCTCCGAATGAGTTCTCGTTCTTCAGATGAATCACCGGACCTGTGACCCAAATTCAATAGAACCCATGGCGGCGCCCGGTCAGGTGGGACCTCGTGGGTCCTGAGCTGGAAGAAGACATCGGAGCCTTGCGCCACCTGACCGAAACCAAGCTCAAGCTTTTTATTTGCAGTTTGAGGACTGTTAGAGCGCGAGGGTCATGTGGGATTGTATTTGTTTGCCCCGCATCAAGAAATGTTGCCCAAGCAGGAGCAAAAGGACCAGCAAAACACTAAGAGGAAGAAACATCGATAATAACAAAGGATGACATCATAATATATATATATATATATGTATATTATCACATGTTTTGACGGGGACATGTTTATTTAGGGCTTGAAATGTGTTGGACCTGTCCATCCATCCGCTGGCATGGGCTGACGCTTTTGCTGTTTGTGTCATACCGGAAGCACTGCCAAGAAGTGGTTGGATTGCCAACATGCAGCTCCTGGGGCATGGCCCGTCTCCAGGTGAGCTACGAAGCCTCGCTCCCGAGCGGCTTCGCGCCCACCGCGATGCCTGCCACGCCACCCGTGCGGAAGCCATGCGTGACCCGCCGTGCGCACGGCCGCTGTGGTCTCCGGTCACGGAGCAGGCGGCACGATCAGATTGGTGGCCGGTTGGCGCAAGGTTCTTACAGTAAATGGGGGTGATGACAACTGCTTAGCTGGGCTACTACGGCACACTCCGGGAGAATGTTGGCATGGATGCCTGGTCTAATTTTGGAGAGGCAAGGCGGTTGCCTTGAGAGGCCATGTGGTTTTTATGTTGGCTTGAAACCAGTTGAAACCCATTGCCTTCGACAACAATGTTACAATGTTGCATAAACTGTCCTGCAAGACTAAGGCTGCAAAGCCTTAGTAGTGGTGCAAATTCAGTGCTGACTGAGTTCAGCCATTAGTGTGCTTGGCAGTCCTGAGCATGGTTTTTCAGCACTGGCCTTTAGCTGAACAACCACATGACCCTTGGAAATTGGTGCTTGGTTCGTGCCTGCCAGTGCTTGCCAGGAGTGGCTGATGCTGACAGATGCTGCGGTAACTCATTTTGCAGCCGAAGAATGCAAAATGCGTGATGGCGAATCTAAGAAGCTCCTGGGTTGCAGTTCTCGTTTTGCGTGGATCGGCATTTTTAAAAACAAGTGGCGCTGATGCTTCTAGGCAGCTTGGCATGAGGAGTGCTCGCAAAGTGACATGTACGCCCACGAACTCCGCTGAGGTGAGTAGGGTGAGTATGTCATATTTGCACATCAAAGCAGCTTTCATACTTGGTCATGCCATGAGTGACTGCCAAAATGACCATTGTGCTCACATTTCCCGACTTTCTGGTCCGCAAAGCCCCCACGTTGGCTGCGTTTGCCTCAGTGGCAGTGCTCTTTTTCCTTTTTTCGGCCGTGCCGCATCGCATCGCAACCGTGCCTTGCAGCCCTGAGGTTGAAGTGGAAGGGCAAAGGCAAAGGCAAAAGCAGAGGGAAAAAGACGGACAGCGCTAATGTTGGTGTTGTTAATGTTGGACGTTCTTGGGTCTTGCGGTGTTGTCAATGTATTGGGTCCTCAATGGTCTTCAACTCTCTAGATTCTAGATGGGAACTGCAGGTAAACACTTGGAGGACGGAGTTGATCACATGTGACTTTTGTGTGGTTGGCCGACCATCTACGCAAGACAGGCTAAGAGACAGCGCTAGAGACTCCACTTGCTCATTTTATAATCAGCCTTTGAGCTTTTGGATGGTTTTGGGCTGCGACTATTTGGTCCCCGGATGATCCGCACCACCACACCATGTGCGACTCGCCATCTGAGGCTCAGCTGAGTGCCCAAGCAGAAAGCATGTCAGCACAGGCGCCGCTCCGCGGGCGCGAACCCGCGGGAACCAGCGGGCTCGGTGGCTGCATTCGGGTGAGGGACGGCTTCCAGTGATCCAAGAAGAACAAGCAGGACCATCCTGCCGGGGTGTCCAATAGACTACCCTACATGACTTAGAGATCTAGGTACAAACTGTTGTTTGTATTTGTTTCGGTGCGATGCGAGAAGGGTCCAGGTGTGTTTTACACAAATTGCGAGCAAATTGAAGGCCTTCTCGTACGTAGCGGTGATTGTTGCTAGGAGGGCGGCATTCATGTGACCTTCCGGCATGACGGCATGCCTTGGGAAAGCCATTTGTTTGAGTAGCAACGTCCAAAGATCGTGGCCAAAAGGTCCGGAAGCGCCGAGTGGCGACAAACACGGTCAGGCGGAAGCAGAGGCTGCCCAACAGGCGGCTTTGCAAGCGGCGCAGATCATCCAGCAGCAACAGGTGCTCCGTAGGGAAGTTGCATGCGCCTGACTGTAGGAATTGTGACTGTGACGTTCTTGGTTGATCTAAGTTTCCCGGTGTTGCTTGCGACCTGGGCAGCTGAGAGATAAACGTTGCCAGTCTCAGAATTCTGGTTTGCTTTGTGTGGTCCAGTGGCCGTGGCAGCTGAAAAGATCAAAGAAATTAGCAAAAGTTAAAACATGATTCAACCTTGCCCATGTTGGTGCAAAAGTCACGGATTGATAGATCAAAGGAAGACATGTGGACAGCTGAGCTGGGACAGGAACAGTTTAGCTTGCCTTCAACACTGCAGCTTCGACCATTCCAAGGAGTGCAGGGCAGAGGCACCGAAGTGTTTGGGGCGCTTCTTGAAGCGAATATCCTCAACAGATCAGGAGTTCCAACAACGTGTTCAGGTTTTACTTAAAAGCGCCTGCTTCGGACACGGACAAGTCAGCACAAAGGCATCAAACATGGTCATTGTTACCCTCCCTCAGACAATCATGGAAGCTGAGCAGGCCCCACTTGCAGACTTCCATGATTGTTTCAGGGAGTGTATATACTATAATTAGGGTAGGCTTATGTCAGCTGGCTGGGTGTGCTGGCTGCTATGTAGTTGTTCTTTTCTTTTGTTTCCTTTGCCATCTCTGGATGGGCATGAGACTTCCTTCAGCTTGATTGCTCAGAACAAACGAGCCACATGTATAGATGCAGGATTCGGGTTGTGATTCCTCGATGTCAAAGGTTTCCCATTGTTGATAGTGGATGCACCTAATTAAGTACCTAATTACATATACTTGTACATATATATATATAGAGAGAGAGAGGGCTGAAGGCTGAAGACCCCATTTGAGAACATGTCCGAGGGTTGTAGATGACTCGTCTTTTGTTCTTTCTCCTCCTTTCTTCCATTCTTCGGAAACCAATCACCGGCGGATCCTCCCACGAACCTGAGGAGATTTGGTCGACGATGAGGACTCGGCGCCTCGGCGCCACAGTTTTCGCACATAAAGCTGTTTCATGTTGGGAAAGTCCCTATGAATTGGGGGCGTCCTAGTCCTATTAATTACATTGATTTACTTATTGTAGCAGTCACTAAAGTGGTAACAATTGTTTTAGAGAGATAGAGGCTTTGCTGACCATCATCCACTGTTACAGGGATTGGGAAATGCCCAACTTATCAACATCTATCAAAGCTGCTGCCCGAGGTCATTTTTGCAGCAGGCGTTGGATAGATCCAGGGGTCAATTTGATTGACGAATCCCCTGGGCAAAAACAACAATATATTTATGTGATGACACGTGACTTTGCAGGGTGTCAAAGGTGGGCGGATGCTGTGGTGAACAGCGAAGACCACGGCCTGGCGGACTTTGGAGCTTCTGCCAACCATCTCCGTAGCGGCCCAGCCTACCCTCTGACGTCTGGAAAAGCTGCTTCATGAAGAAACATATTCCCCGCGTGACAGTTTCCCGTGCGCGCTCCAGTCCAACTTCTCGGGCGTGCATTTTGCTGGTTCCAGTCCAACTTCAGAAGCTCCAGGAACACGCTCCCCGCTGACCGGTGCTTCACACGCATGGCTGCGGTGTTCCGCCGAGGCAGAACAACGACGCCTGGATGTCCGGGGGCCCTCTATAGGGGGTGTGAAGAATTGTAAAACAGGGTTGACCAAGGTGTATACCTAGTTCGGAAAACCAGGTTCTTTGTGGTATTATTTGAAGGGATGTCTATAGGGACCATGTTTGTTCACCCTGTGGCCTCTTTTTGGCCTGGCTCGACATGGACAATAGCCTTGTGGGGTGATGGCATCTCAGCCAGCCAACTCCTGCTTAAGCTCTTTTGAGTTCGTACTTTTGGTTGTGTTGGGATTCAACGGCGGGATCCAATCTATCTCATGGAACGCTATGCTACAGAACAGTGCAACGGGCTCTCGCGTCCTTGTTTTTGTTGGCTCCATTTTCTGTTCTCCACTTGCTTCTGGATTTGCCAAGTGCTCCAAGTTTTGTCTATATTGACGTGCTGTATTACGTTGATGAGTTGCCCATACTCCGGGGTCAAAGTGCATGATGTCGGCTTTAGGACTTGCGCCATTTATCCCCTATGTTTTCAGCGGTTGAGATCCATGCAAAACCCATACTATAGATGGCGCAAGGCTACATGTCAAAATCGCGCCATGTTAACATAAAGTGCCAAAAACGTGGAAAAACACAATGATTTTGAAGGATGTTGTTTTTTTGGTGCCAAATTCGGGTTAGCATGGTGCTTGTTGGAAATCTTTGCTGGATGATGTTGCAAACGCACCTTTTGATGCTCCCGAATTTTGCTCCCAACTTTTTTAAAGTCTCTTCTGTAGAGCATCTTTACAAAATTCACACTCCACCACAGGTTTGTCTACCTCCACAGCCTTTATAGATGGCGCAAGGCCACAGTGAAAAAGGGCGTGAATGGTGTGATTTCATCGCGGTTTTTTGGTGGCCTTTCCGGCGCCATCTACCCTGAAATCTCCCAAGCAGCCGGAGCCATCTACTTTTAACCCGGTGTATTTTCCTCATCATGTACAAAAGCGTGCTTCGTTCAGGTTCATCACAAACTTCCTTTTGTAACGTTCTTCCATGAGTTTTTCTTGCTTATGTAGCTCAGGCGGCCGAGCAACAGGAGCGAGCCAGCTCTGCAGTGAAGGTGAGCGCAGCACGTAGGGGACACCCAGGAGTTTTAGAAATCAACATGTGGAAAATATGAGGATATTTTGCTCCCCCCGTACTGAGTACTGTAAGGCTGTCATGGTGAATGTGTAGAGTAGGGCTTTTGTAAGGTTGCGTGGGGCCTGATGTTCTTTTGTCACATCAGCATTGACCGACCAACAAACCACACCAATCACCCTTCACAAAAGGCGGCCGCCAGTGGTCTTTATATGATGTATGTTGCACGTCTGACAGCCCGCTGAGTCGCCTGTCTAAGCCTTCCACTGGGATCAGTTGTCCCAGTAGCCTCTGGCCCCCAACTCATAGACATGTGACATGTGGGCCAAGATACCCAAAGCATGATGGAACAAAAACGTGCACCAAACTATCATAAAGATCTGAGATCTGGCATGTTTGATGACCCACCCTCAGGTCAGGAGACGCTCTTCCTTCTGGCGATATTTCTGCTCAAGCAAACTCCAGTGCTCTAGTGCCCTTGGAGCGGGTTTGCCTCAGTGCGGCATGGGCCTGTCAGAGGCAGATCAGTTGATCCAAAACACTGTGACTTGGACTGATGGAAGGTCAACCACGAGGGTCGAAACATGTAGAACCCCGTTTCTGCAGAGGAGAGATGCGAGGATCTTCTGGCAAACCGGTTGTTGCAAGGAAAGGGGAAGAAACACATTGGCAGTTATAAATAGAAGCAGTGGGAACTCATGCTTTTACAAGTGAAGAACACCTGTCGCTTGTGGAGGTACATGAGAGCGAGAGAACTAAGGCGTTTATTGGCCTTTGTATCTGCATCCTTTTGCTGCTTGGCTTGGTTTGATTTGCTTGCGCAAAGGGCATCGCTACAAGTAACAAGGGCATCGCTACTAGTAACAAGAAGCTACTAGTAGCAAAGGGTCATGAATGTCATGATGCTCTACTTTTTGGTTGCATATGGTGGAGGCGGACCACTTCTTTTTTCCGGGGGGCAGAAGAGGGTCCAGGTTCCTTCAGCTCCTTAAAAAGGAGATGATGTATATATAACCTCAAGATCATTGACATGAACATTGGAGGGTGGACATTGGTTGTTCCAAGAACTAAAATGTTTGCACCCCAAAAAACGGAGCCAAGGCTTACTTGGTGGTCTTGGTGGTTTGCGGCGACTGTTTGGGCACACGCCAATTGAAACTCCAGAGGGGGAGTTCCAGAACTCTCCAAGCAGAAAAACGAACGGCGCCCTTAAAGTATCACAGACACTTCCTCCAAGGGGGTTGATACCTTTTTGATACTCCACTACAGATGAACATGAAACCCCAAAACCACATGGGTTGCAGAGGAAAATGCTCGGGTTCCATGTTAGTGACAGCGGGGGGGTATATATACCATCTCTTTCACCAGAAAGGTCTGGGTGGAGCCTCGAAGGTTTGTGTTTGGCTTCGTCCTGCTGGGGATGGCTGGATTGGTGACATATCTCGATCGGCGGAAGAAGGCGGTGGAAAAGGACACCGATCCGATTCGGCGGATGACGAATGGCAGGTCCGCTTCAGTATGGCAGAGCATGGCACAGTGCGTGCCGCATATTTGTTTAAGTATTTTTTATTGCTTCTGGCGGAGACAGGTGTTGATGAGAAGATGATGCTATGACATGCTATGACCATAATATCCTGGTGTTGAGGCTGCACGATTTGCCCACGATGCGGATTGGCCAACCAAACTACCCGTCAGCATATTGACTTGTGGTTTTGTCCATACATATTGATACTCGGGCTGATTCCATGGGATCCTCCGAAGTCCGTATTTCAGCCCCACCGACGGAAGAACTTGCAACACTTCAGCATTGTTTAATACACCACGTTTCTACCATGCAGACCAGTCCTGGAATCTCCGCAGGATTGGGCGGGCAAAGATGTCTAAAGCTGTGCAGATGGTCTCGATGATGTGCAGATGGAGCCCGTTCCTTGGATGTGCAGATGGTCCAGAAGGTCCTTTGGGTGCCCACGTCCTGGCAGACCCACCTGACATGCTCAGGCGGCCGGTGGTGATGGCGATGGCTAGTGGTGGTCGGTAGTAGGAGCAGAGGTAGGAGCAACGGTAGGAGGACTAGCTTACGTGATGGGCTACAGAATGCCACCAACAACATCAAGTATTCATCCATGCTTCCAAGCTAGGCACCGGCCTCTATTGTCACCCATCTCGCATCGACGTTGGAACCTCTTGGAACTATCTCAGATGTGAAACTGAGAGCACATCAAAGAAGCCAGCTTTGCAGCCATCCATCTTTGCCGCATGAAGCATGACTCATGACCATTCTGAGGTGCCATGGCCGGACAGAATGCGCCAAAGACGAGCACCAAGAAGTGAAGGGTTGTGATGGATGACTTGCGGCTTGCGTGGGGGTCTGTGCAATTGATCCGGAACACCGCAAACAAAAAATATGCACTATATACTTGGGTTGGAATCCACGCAAAACCTGGTTACGACCGCAAAAGAGCGGAATGTTTTTGGACATACCTCTACATCTCTCTAAATCTGTTTTTTTGGGGGTCCACCCACCAAGGCCAAACAAAGTATTCAAGAAAGGGCAGGCTGAAGACCGGCCTTCGCCCCTGTCATCGATACTGACACCTCCGGGAGGTCAAGGTACCTCACGGCGAGTGCATCGGTTTCAGGCTCTCGCAACTGCCAACTCGGCGACCTGTCCAAGAATGACTGTTGCGATGCGTTACATTCCTGGAAAGAAAATTATGGTTACAACCGTACCATTTTCCTAATAGCAAGCAGTTGATGAACTAACTCCACTTCCATGATTATTTCTGTGTAGACGCTTGTTCTTTTTAGCACACTGGCTTTCCAGACGCCATGCACCTGACATGTAGCAAGGGCGATGTGTTGCCAAAATAAGTTATGCCAAACTGTGGGTGATGGCTGCCAGAAGACATAAACCTAGCTGGAGGGCATAAACCTGCTGACACAGTTCAAAGGGCGACGATTTGGAGGTGTGGATGAGAGTTACTGGTTCTACTGAAGTTCTAGATAGTGATGTCCATTTCCATCGAGGAGGCTGAGGTCGGACGCCAGTTTTGGCACAGAGAGCCCTAGAGAGCCCTGCGGTTAATGAGTAGCAGCTTAGTGGCGCGAGTGTCGCGCGAGATCAACGTTGGAGGAAAAAAATCGAGGTCTCAAGATCCATCGGTCTGTCAGGCTGTCAGTCCATCTATGCTTTTGATGTTCCAGTTCTTCGCACCTGTGCAAAGAACTGGACATGAAAAACACATCACCACATCACCGCCGGCGGAGTCGATTTCCGGCGGCACGCATGCACGGGTCGCGCACGCACGCACCACGCCTGTCGCCTGTCGCGAGCCGCTCAGGTCGACAGGCAGATCCCAATCAGCCGTCGGAGGTGGGACCGGGAGACCGAAGTGTGAGGAATTCTGACCGCACATAGAAGTGGGGCGACAGCCCAGCTACCAGTTCGGAGGAACGATGGTCTTCCGGAAATCAAGGGTCACTGTTCACGTTGATGTGTGTGTGAGCGTGAGTGTAAGTCTCTTGGCTTGAGTCGGGTTGGGATGGTCCAATCTGAAGGGGACGAACCCTTCGGCGCTGGAGAGACGGTATTTGGGCACTGCGTAGGAGGAGCGGAGGGCTCGCGCCGAGCATTTGAGACGCCAGCGTTGGGGGAGCCCGGCATCGACCATGTGGGGACCGTTCGGTCCAAGAGAAGTTCCCATTACTCCCAGTTGTTGAAGTCGAGACGGGACGTGTTTTTTCCAAATAGCAGATAGAAGGTGATGAGCAAACCAGGAAGTCGATACACTATAGCCGACTATAGCGTTTCCTTGCAGGATAGAGTGTGTTGGAAGATGTTTTCTAAATGCATGGTTTTATTCAATGGGCTTGTTTTACTCAGCGTTCACAGTGTTTTGATTGCACAAGACCTACCGCAAGGAAGTTGGCAGGCAACCCATAGGTTGTTTCTAGAGGTTTCTATAGGCAGCCCATAGGTTCCCCTTCATCTTGGGATTGTGGGTCTCATACGTCCAACCCTCCAAGGGCTTATAGGGCCAACCCTCGGAAGCAGGGTCCTCATGGAAACCTGGCTTCCGCTGTGAAGCGGGCCCACTATTGAGTGGCATGAACTTGTGCCAGATGAGGTGTGCCCTTGGGGGAAAGCTTGATTGGGCTACCTTCGCTGGTGCTGCCGGTCTGCTGCTGGTTTTCTGCTGCTGCTGCTGGTTGGCTACTGCTGCTGCTGCTGGCTGATTGGTGCCGGTGCTGCTACTTGCTGCTTGGTTGCTGCTGGTGCTGCTGCTTGCTGCTTGCTGCTGCTTGTCGCTGCCGCTGCTGCGGCCTGGGCTACAAGGCCTACTCATTTGCTGCCTGTCATTGTCTTGCACGCCCTATGATTATAGCAGGCTTCTTTCATTGCAGACTGGGCATTGGAAACGTGACATCAAGCTTGGTGGCAGGCCTGTTTGGTGAAACGCGGTGCTCTATGCGGAAACAAGTATCGCAAGGACGTTGCCGTGACTTAGTCGCGGCGTGGTGTCCCAGTTTTTGACTGGTTGCCACAGCTGCATTGCAAGGACTTTGTGTTTGGGCGTTAGTGGGCATGGGTCTTCTGGGCAAACGTGTTCATCTCGCCCAATACCTCGCCCACATCTCGCCCTCTACCTCGCCCACATCTCGCCCTCTATCTCGCCCAACCCACCAAGCACCAGGACCTCCAGAGGTGTGCGATGGGGATTGCCATTGTCACAACACATATGTGTATATAAGCAAAGGCCTCTTCAATTTACATGGCCCCCCAGGCAAGGAGCGATTTGCAGGGCTCATGTTTTCAAGCGTTCATGTTCACATTTTTCGCAGGTGTGCCACGCGGAAGTGTGTCCTGCACAGTCGTTGAAAGACAGGAACGCGCACACACAGACACCAAAGAAGGCAAAACGCAAGCTAACCATTGGGTGAGAATCGGTGTGCCATGGGGGTTGGATCATTTCAGCCCATAGGAAACCTTAGAACCCATCAACGTGTAGAAGATTGAATCGCAATGGAATGGTGTAGGTTTACAAACAATCTAGGCTGGGAGAAAAAGTGCTTGTTTCGAAGCGGTGTGCCATGGGGATTGGGAGAGGAATACACACAAGAATGCATAGATATTTTTGACGTTTAAAGAACAGTTCCATGCTGTTTGCACTCCAGGTAGAAACTTAAAGCTGGTACCAACATGTGGGTCAGAATCGGGGTGCCATGGGGATTGGATCACGGCAACCCATAGATAACACTTGAAAACATTAACATGTAGAAGGTTGAATCGCAATGGAATAGTGTAGGTTTAGAAACAATCTAGGAGAAAAAGTGCTTGTTTCGAAGCGGTGTGTCATTTTGTCCAAATGGGGTAAGTTCTTACATTCGTGGGGTAAGCGGTGTGCCATGGGGGTGGGTCAAGTTCATGTGCGATGGGGCAAGTTACCACGTCGAGTAGCTCTCCAAATTGCGTTGCCATTGGGATTTGCAGTTGAAGTTTTATCTTTTTGGAAAGGCGAATCTGGAGAACCTTGTTCTGTATGTAGCGTTTACAATGGGGAAGGCCAGCAGTCTTGACTTAAGTGCTAACTTTTGCAAATCGGCGTTCCATGGTGGTTTAGTATCCCACATGCAAAATGTATTAACTTCAACGGGCACCAGTAGCTGCTTAGCTTTGTGCGGACTTTTTCATCTCCCTTTGCGAAAAACACTGGCATGGTTTTAGCCATCCTGGCCAAGATGCCATGCGCGTATAATGTGTGTTGTTGTTTTAGCAAGTTGGTATATGTCGTGAATGTAATGAATGAACTGGTCTAGGGTATACGATTGGATCTATATACCAGCAGTCACGAAGGGGGGCCTATTGGAGGATAGGGGTGCCCATTATCCACTCACTTAGGAACTAAATACCACCCCTTTGTGACTCCTGGTGCGTGTATAGTGTTGGCTTGCTAGCGCAAGGCCGCAAGGCTTTGCCACAGCCTTTCGCCTCGCCTCACCCCGAGGTGAGGCGCTCATGGAAAAAAAGAGACGCGAAAGAGAAGAAGAGTCGGGGGCCTCGGAGCTGTTCATTCATGTTCAGTCGACCAGAATGTGCTGTTCAATGCTGGCTTAAACTTCAGACCAACAGCTGGAAAGAACTTTGGCTCCAGGATGATTTAAAAAATAGCTCCACATCTCCACACATCTCCACATTTCAAGTGGACGGAGGCTGTCATCCAGGTAATATGCACAGAGTGGAAGAGTCGTAGTTTGGTGCCGAGATCCCGCAACGGACTTCCAAAGCCCCAGTCGTCACTGCCAGGCTCAGTCGTCACAGTGCCTGGAATGGTGGCACTGCCACTAGGGCGGCTGAACGCGCCTGTGATTCTGGCCTGAAATTACTTACTTAAATATGTTACTACTAGTAAGGCACTTGTTACTACTAGCGATGCACTTGTTACTACTATTTAATCCAGCTTGGAGTGGCCGAGTTGGAACTTCAGAGTTGGCAAGGTTTGGTTGATTTTGGAGCGTGTGCACCTGGTGACACCTTTTTGAGCACAAGCTTTTCTCGCACTTGCCCAAAAAAGAATGGTTCAGACAGAGCACACTTGGGAGGAGTTATAGAAGCG